TTGTTATTTCAGTTTTCGTGACAAATATCAATATATTTATATATATATATGCACGTGTAGCAATATGTCTACGCAGCAAATGTGTCGATTATATATAATCATTTCGTAGTTGACGGTTAAAATGTTAAAAACACTGGACTGTGTTTTTAATTGTTTAAATACGTTTTTAAATATCGGTGTAATAACCATTAACCATGTCACGGTAAAAAAAAAAAAAAAAAAATGCAGAAACTTATTGAAAATTCGTGAGATTCGAATTCGGACCTGCCTATTTCCTACCTTATACCTATATCCTACCAATAAGATCTGGATCTTTAATATTTAAAAACTAGTTGCATCCCGTCATACAGGACGGGATATAAGGATATTTGGTCGTTACGATAAATCAGCGAACCGTTACAGACTGACGGATTATGACTTTTAGCCACGACATGAAGCCACGTCATAGAGTATATAGGTATTTTGTACATTACCTTTCGAAGTAACATCCATCACCTCCATCACAACCATCACCACTGCTCCCTATTTTAGCATCCTCCCCCCCTCCCCGAAAAAATATACCCACGACAATGCCGTAACCGGGAGAAAATGTCAAGAGAGGGGACTCTATATAATGGTTTTTACAAGGGATTTTATTATTGCCTAATCTTTTTAGGATGATAATAATCGTTATAGTGGTTCGGTATCCGTTAAACAGATATCAAACGGTTCAAATAATATTATAATGTTGGAAAGCGCAGTGGTGTCTGAACCTGACAAACGGAGTGAAAATGTTTTTCGTGAACCGTTTAATTTCTGTCGATGCGTTTACATTATTTGTTCAATATCGTTTAGCGTTAGAAACACGTCATTTGAACCGCAATAAAATTGTTGAAAATTTCACACGAACACTTTTATCTCGATTTTACCGCAATTGTTTTCTGTCTCGGTTCTTGCACTTGAACCGTTCACAAAACACAGTGTTCATAAACCGACATGTTAATGTATAAAAACCACTTGTAAAGCCCTCTGATCCACACGTATATAAAAATAAAAATTATCTCTCTCCCAGGAGATGGTCCTACAGGAGCCAAGCTGCAGATCAAGCCGATATAATTCCTACAATCAGGACACGAACTCGACTGACTCACCTGGAAATACCTCAACAGGCTCAGAATGGGAGTAGGTAAAAATCCAAAGACAATTTTAAAATATGGGATTATCCTCAGCATAACTCTTCAATATACGAGTGCGACATTGAACAAAATACGGAACACTTTTTGAACCGCCAAATCGGCCTTTCCTCCTGCTGTAAAGATATTTTAACGACACCTAATGCGATCAAAGTGACAAGATTCCGGTTGAGGAAAATTTAATCGACGAACTATACTGACTATATTATAATACCTTTACTGACTGACGATCATTTTATCTTAATTTTACTAAATTACCCCTTATGTTATTTTATTCAATTATTTATTTTACATTATTATTAATACTTACATTTTATTTACACGTCACTCTCTTACAAATGTTCACACATACTACTCGGGTAAGTACTCAAAGTAGATATGACGTACGTATCTGTGTATTATAATTGAGTTCCCTCTTCCAAACAGCCACGAACCGAAATGTCTAAACCTAGAAGCGAAATCTGTTTCTTAATTTTTATTTCGAGTATAAAATATAGACGCGGTTACGACTATTGAATTTGTCGGGAGGGTATTTAATAGGTGTATTTAATAGGCACCTTATAATTACGATGGATAAAAAACTATCTTAAAAACGCGGTCTAAAAGGTTACAATTAATTTTGAATTCGACCGTGAATAATTAATAAACATCGATAAATAGAACAGAATATATAATTCCCCTGAACCTACTAATAAAAAACTTTAGTGAATAATTTGTATCACTTCCAAAACAAATTTCTTCTTCTTCAAAATTCTTAACATGAAACTAATAAATTATACAAAATAAGAGCAGATACTAAACGAAGTTCGGTTACACGCGTTTTGAAATACCATGTTTTTTACCCCTATTTTACGATTTACGTCAAAATTCAAACTTTAAACGCTTATTGAAAAAAAAACTACTTGCCAGGTAATAAATTACGCTCAACTTTTTTAGATTCTAAACGGAGCGAGGAATGTATTGGTTTTACAATAATGTTTTTTTTTTTTCTGTGAACAACTTTATAATAGACATTTTATATTTTTCAAAATCTTTTAGTTATTTTTGAGCTATTTATAGACATTATTTAATTTTGCGAGTTTTACGTAATTTTTATTCGGTAGGTATCTACTCTGTAAATATAATTGTTTGACCAAACAGAAATGCTTGGAAATTAAACAAGAGGTCAATTATAAGTCATAATTAATGGTAAAAAATAATAATTAATTAAGTTAATAGAGAATCGGTTTTTTTTAATAAAAATTTGAAACCACAAATTTTGACGAAAATCGTAAATATCACGGTCTTTTAAAACACGTATGATTGAATTTCCCTGAGAATCGTTTTTGGTTTGATTAATCGTTGCACACAGATAATACCAACATTAAATTTCCCCATATATCCTAGCTACCTTCCAAACTTCTCGCCTACAACAGTGGCCCACCCATTTTTCTAGTGGAAAGATTATTTACAGACGGAAAAAAAAGCATACATCACAGCAAAACCAATACATCCCTCTCAACGAATCTCAAATAAATACATAACTCCGCTAATGTTAATCAATTATCCATACAAAATTAGGTAACATTCGTAATTTCGTTAATTTATAAAAAATAAATAGGTGCATTAGTTATGTCGAACCATTCCTAACATTATGACTTACGATAAGTGAGGTTTGTATATTTACAGAGGGTAAATCGTTAGCGAAACTCCGCGTACAAATATTTGGTAATCAGAAATCGTATAGAAAATCTCGGTATTGTGGAATCCGGTGTACACCGTATTGATTGGCGATTTACCTTTCGGAGTATTATTTATGTTTCGTAGGATTTAGATGGGTAGTGTGATGTTCCAAGGACATCCGTCAAGGAAAATCCACGGTCGTGGCGCATAATTGTGTACTCTGCGTAATTATTATGGGTATGATTTATTAGTCTAAAAAAAAAAAAATAATACCTAAGAATAACATTTTTTTTTTTTTTCTTTTTATAATTATAGGTACGGAAAAGCCGTGGAGGAGTAGCCGTAAGATGGACACTAAAGAGCGAGCTGAAAACGTACGGAGAATTCGTACCCACGGAATTTTCGAGATTTGTCATCGAACGTTTTCAAAACACAAAACCAAAATCGAGAATTCCCGAATGGAAACTGCGTACGTGCCATTAGTGTTTATTTTCTGTCAATACTAAACGATGGACATGACCAGAGACATAGTCGTCAAGTTTTTTTTTCCACCCGACTATGTACTGGAATAGGTATCTACCAACAGCGGCGCAACCAGGGGGGTTTCGGGTGTTGTAACACCCAGACGTTATATATTTTTCTTTTTTTTTGTCCATAGGTTGGATTAAGAAGAAAACTATAGACCTCTATACCCCAACACCCCTCGCCCCCTGCACTAATTAATAAGTCCTGGACGGGCCACCGCAAATCGATAACAATGAATTTTAAGATTTTTTCGACAAACGAAATAAACGATTTTTTTTTTTCGTTAGCTAACTCTTATTATTACGCCGAGCAAATTGTTTTTTGTTTTTTTTTTTTTTTATGATAAACGCTAAGAATTGAATATCGTACGCGCGGTTAGGTCGGAGAGTTGACTGTCGAATTTCCAGGGTTCGTGACCCGAACAGAAAAAAAAAAAAAAAACCCCCAAGACGAAAAATAAAAGAAACAGAATCGGAATGTTATTACTAGGCGTTATTTTAGTGACGAAACACGAAATGAATAAAATCGCGAATCGAGTATTCAACTACTCGTGCGTAATGAAATATTTGAAAAACCGATTTTCAAACGCCGGTAGACGGACATGCCGGACACCGAATTATTTGGTCCGCGCCGGACAACGGACATTTTCCCGACGTCCGACACAGAAATTATGTACCGGTCGACTAGCATTATCGCCGGCGTGAAATTTAATCGCCGCAAAAAGAAAAAAAAAAACGAAACGAACGCCGGCGTAACGGAAATTTAGCGCCGGCAACACGTTGGATTTTGGCGCGAGATCCGACAATGAAATATCCCTACGGTCGTGCGAATGTCGGTGATTTTCGACACCGTCGGACCGTGTCGAAAACCAAAACCCCCGGCCCCCGAACCACATGAATATCGCGCGCGGCTTATCGCGTCTCGCGCGTAAATTGAAAAAGAAAACGAAAAAAATTAAAAAAAAACATCCGACGCCGGTTTTCAATGCGTCGTTTCGACCGGGCGCCGCTGGATTTCCGAAAACACCCCGGCACGCGAGCCAAGCGCGCACTTCCGGTAAAGTTTTAGAACCGAACGCGTATCGTGTTCGCGCACGGAATAATTCAATCGCGACGTCCTATCCAACTGTCGTCCACGCGTCCACGGGGTGCGTCCGTCCGGGGGAAATTCTAGATTTGGGTAACCGTTTTATTCTCAATGTCGCCGCACATCCGGACACGGCTGGGCGCAACCATTCGCGAGAATACAATCGCGAACCGTACGTACCGCGACCTCAAGAATGAGCGTAAAACGCGGACGGCGTACGGGGGCCGCCTCCCGGGCGGGTGCGAAATAATTAATTCGTACGCGTTTTAATCTCGTTTTCGGTTCCGTTTTTTTTTTTTTTTTTTTTCTTTCTTAACACTTCTCGAAAGTCGAATTTCCGGTAAAATCAAACGCGGACAACAATCCGGAACGAATGAGATCGCAAATAATTTCCAAGTACTTTCTGATCACGCGAAACGTTAAATTTACAAAATTGCGTATCACCGCGCGTGCCCAACCGTGGCGATTGACGGTCGGGATAACGGAATAAATAAAAATATCCGCTATACTCACGCGTGTCCGAATGTTTTATTTTCCCTCTAACTCCGCGCGATCATGTCCACCGGCCGAAGAGCCGGACTTCGTGGCCGCCGCGCGTGGGACACGGCGTTCCGGAAACAGGTTTTCGGTACCGTCTGTTGCCGCGGTCACGAAAACGCCGGTGCACCGGCGCGGTTACGGTCACGTATTTCACGGGCACGGTCGCGTTCGAGACCGAACGGGACAATGTTGAGAACGGCGCGTGAATCGCAAATACAACGTCGTGCGGACGCACACGCGAGAAAATAATAAAAACGAATTTCACCGCGGAGGTTGAACGAAAATAACGGCGGTTTTTACATCGGGCGCAATCGGCGGCGGAGTTCGGCGGACACGTTGGTCGTCGTCGTTGTCGCGTTCGCGGTCCTCGACATTCTGCGACCGTGTGCGCACGTCGCTATCACGGGAACGAGACTGCGGTCGCGGCTCGCCACGGACTCGGACGCATTGTGCCGACCCGATTGTGGTGGGGCTCGTACGAGTACTATCGTCGCGCCGCCGCTCGCGCTGCCGCCTGCCGCCGCGACGACGTGATCGTCGCGGGCCGCTCGCAGCTGGTCGCTGCCTCGGCGGCGGCGCGTATTCCCGAACCCTAACCGCGCCGCGGCACCGTACACCCCGCGCGCGCGCGCGCGCGCCTATCCGGCCGGCGGTCCGTAAACAATAACAATACGGCGATAACAACACCGTAGTAGTTGTGTGCCGGACGCGCGAAGCCGCGTGTCGAGGAAATCTGCGCCCGGTCGGACGCGTTGAACGGGTCTCGAACGTTTACGCGGTTGTTAACGTACGCGTGGGTTTTGGGTTGGGGCGGCACGTCAAATGCATCGCCGCAGCAAATATTAATCGATATTAATTGTTTTGTTTTTTTGCGGTTTTTCCTAATTATTATAAAAACTACTTCGGATATCGAGAAAAACAAAAAAAAAAAAAAAAAAAAAAGACTCCCTGTCATAATAAAATGAACGAAATCGATTTTTCATAATTTTTTCCGATCGGAACGGTCGTAGTTAGAGAAAATTACCTTTCAGAAAATGGGCTACGCTCTACATAAATACATAAATTGCAGCAAGATTTTTGATAGAAAAGTGGTTTCAGAAGCACAAAAAATTAAAAAGACGTCCTAGGATAATGGGGTCGGGTGCAGCCACTGTTAATTAATTGAGTTATTTATTGTAATTTAATGATAAACCATTGCTAACGAAAAACCGATTCTGAGCGGAGTTCATTTAATAGTAACGCACTGATGCTTTGTCAATAATATTATATGTATGTCATATTATGGTAAAACAATTAAATATGCTTTATATATTACGTACATATCGGTTTAGCGTACCGATTTTCCAGTTTTCCCCACATTTTTCCGAGTTTTCCCGTGTTGTTTCCTGGGAAAACTCTTAAAAAAATCGAAAAATGGCCTACTTAAAGTATCGTCCCAGTCAAATTTCCTTTTAGAAACATTGCTCTCGTTGTAAATTGAAGCAGATTTGCTGGTAGAAATGTCGTCCGCAGAAAAAAAAAATAAACATCTTTGTAAAACCGCTCCACTCAGAATCTAAAATGCAAATTAAAAAAACACACATCATAGTGAAAAATCTAAAATATATGTACAAAATGCGATTTTTCGTACTTTCGACGGGGATAAGAAGTTGAATATTTAGACGATTGTAAAACACCATCGAGGACTATTCGAGGTTGTGTTTTACGAATTGTATGGTAATGCGGTTTTTTTTTTTTTTACCGATTTTAAAGACCATCACGTTTGTTTTTTTACGCCAGCGCGATTTCGCTACGTTATCGCCCACTAGTCAAGTGTGCATATCACTTTAGGACGGTCACTTATAAGTAATAGTGTAACGGTCGTCGTTATTTATTAAAGCCCCTTTAAGGACGTTTCGCTGTGCGTATTGTCATATTCACCGGTAACGAAAAAACAATCGAGAGAGAACAAAAACCGAAAAACCGCGTGTCCTCGACCAGTATTGTAGGGAACGAGGCGAAACAAACCGCTATAATATACGGAACGCGGGAAGCGGAATACGGGGGTACCGGATCGGCGTTAGGGTTTGGCAATACGCGACGGCGGCGCGTCGTGATCGCTGGAAACGGCAGCGGCGGCGGCGACGGTGGCCGTTTTTTACAACCCATCGACCGCGCCGCCGCTGTCGCATGGTCGCGGCGACCGTGGCCGACGACGACCGAACGTCGCGACCCCGTCGCCGCCGGCGGCGGTGTTTCGTCCGTGTTATTCGTGTCCAGGCGGCTTTCGCGGCCGTTCTCCGTTCCACCGCACCGCGCAGCGCACGCGGCTACCGCCATCGACACCGCCACCGACACAACCGTTCCGCCCCTACCGCGGGACGCCGGCGGTCGGCCCACCAAAACGATCTCTTCAACCGCCACCCCCCCCCCCCCCCCCCCCCCCCNCCCCCCACCCACATCCCTAATAGACGCGCGACGCACCCGACATCATCGCGTGGCACCCCTTTGACTCGCGCGCTCGAGCCGTTGGTTCGACTGGGGTCGGTGAAAAATTGCCGTTTCCGAAAAACCGGTAGGTGTACCCCCGGTCCGCGTCGTCGCGACCAAATTACGATTCCCAGATATTTCGTATTCATAATTCGGTTTTCTTTGTACATTGCCGTGACGAAATTTCCGGTCTCGCCGCCGCCCCGCTGCGCCGGGTTAGATTTTTTAATAATATTTCATCAGATTCGGAACACTGCGTATCGCGTACAATATTTTGTTTTTTTATTTATTTTTTTTTTTTTGTTCTGCTTTCCGTTGCGTTCGGACGGTCCCGACGAGCGGTATTGTCCTTTTTGAGAATTTATGTATACATGTATATTATATTTGTCGTGTCGGTTTTGTATTACACTGTATACGTATGCAATACAATACACACGAAAATATCGAGAAATATTTGCAAAAATAGTGGTAAAAGAAGAAGGAGAAAAAACCACAATTTTTTTTCTTCTCTGCAGCCTGTACACTATAATGGAAATAAAAAAAAAAAAAAAAAAAAAAACATATATATTATAAAAGCAACGTCTATGCACCGAAATCTCTTTTCCGTAATAATCACCGCCGTGTTCGAATTGAATCAAAAAAACGGGGCACGACGGACGCGCGCGGGTTTTTGTATACAGAATCGTTCGGTTTTATTCCGCGCAGCGGATAAACGTAACAGTGACCATCGTCCCCTTCAATCCCTCGCCAACCCCCCCCCCTCCCCCCACCACACCACCGCGACCGCCGTCTAAACACAAAGTAAACTGCGGAATAATTAATCTCGCAACAACAAAACCGTCCATACGAATAAAAAAAAAAAAAAAACTCATTTCAGAATCCGGGCGCAGAGAAGAATGTATTGGTTTTATTTAATATATATTTAATATATATATATATATATATCTTAAAAAAAAAAAAAACTATAATGTAACGTGCGAGATTTTTTTTTTTCCCCCCGTCCGCTAACAATATCATATTAGTCGGACAGCGTCTATTCCGAGAGCCAATTTTATCTAGTAATCGGTATAATGAGGTTAATTTTTTTTTTCTATGCAGTTTTTTTAACAATTACGTAAGCGACGTGGAAAATATTTTGGGAAAATGTTGATTTCGCTGTCATTCGGTTAGCAATAATAAATTGCAGAGATCTGAAGCACACACTGCAGCATACTTGCATTGGCCTTTTCTAGACGTCGTCGAATTTTCAAATATTCTTGCGATTTTCAAGCTATATGATTATCTAGGTATTTTACGTTTTCCAGTTTTGTTTAGTTTTAGTGTTTATTTGTTTTGGTGCGATGTATGAAATTGGTTCGGTCAAGCAGAAAAGCTTAGACATTTTACACAATGTTAATTATAAGTTGTAATTAGTGGTTAAAAAAAAATTAGCTGTAGTTTGTTTTGTAGTGGTTTTTTTTTTTAATATAAACGCGTTTAAACTTTAAACTTCAATGGAAATCGTGAATATCACGTCATTTTGCGTACCTATAGTATTTTTTATTATAATTTGTGTGTAGAGAACGGATTTCAATTTTAATAATTGTTTTGTTTATATGGGTTGAATATCGATAAATAGTTCGATGCCGATAGAGGAGTACCGATATCAGAGAATATGATTTTATCTTATGCGAAATGGCGTGCAAATTGTCTTCAATTCTGTATTTTAAATATTTAAGTACAAAATAATATGTCTTAATCAAACCTAACCAAATTCTTTAATAATTCCAAATGTGGGGAAAAAATTAACCATAAATAAATACAGACGAGTACTCTATGTATACTATTATAACGTGTCTAGGATAATAATTTCCTATTAAACAAACGGGTATGCTAATTGCCAGGGCCTATTTTTTGTAATATTTTGTATTACACACGTTTTAGTTTAGACCATAAATTTATGGTTACAAAATAAAATTTGTCCCCGAACCCTTAAATAGAGTAATTTCATTAATTTTTTCTAACCATTTATAGTTATTTCCCATTTTTTTTAAACAAATATTTCTAGGTTTAAACTTTATCAAGGAGAAATTTATGGGTAATGTAAAAAGTAAACTTAAAAATAAAAATAATACATAATACCAATTAAAATGTATTTTATTTATACATTACTCTTTTTAACAAAAATTATTTAAAAAACGTTCCTCCGGGTTTAATTCCTTATTCAAAGTTAGTAAACTAATTCTAATAAGCATTAAGATAATACGTTTTAAAACATCATAATAAATAATAATAAATAACAAATTTTAAAATACTTTGTATTTGATACAATTTCTTTGATATACTTATACTAAATTTGTTAAACAATTAAAAAAAAAATACATACAATAATTTATAAATACAAATTTCAAAGCTTACCAAATTGTATTTGTTACATAAAAAAAATAAAAAAAAAAAAATCATAAATTTAAATAAAATTGATTTAATCTCGGCCATTAGTCTCTACACATTTTATAATTCTATACTAGACATTTAATATTCCGTACTACACACAACAGATTTGGTTTTACACACAATGTGGCGTATTGCACACAAAAATAGGCCCTGGGGTATGCTAAAATGTGTAGTATGATAAAATTAAAGGAAAATCGGTCCGCTCGTCTCAGTAGCGTGCCCTGTATCCAGTCTATTTTCAAAATGATAGGTTGTGGGAGTTAATAATTATAAATAAACCGTAAGACATTGTACAATGGGAATTTAAAACCCGCGGATCAAAAACGGCTAATTTTCATTCAATGAATTAAGCTTCTTTCCGTCGAAACTATTGCCCGAAATACATGCATTACAAAATTCGTGTACTAAAAATAAATACTCGCAGTAGTTACATTTTTAAGCCGATGGGAGGGAGGGGATGTAACCCCGAACCTCCTCAACTGATCATGCCACTGGTTCACCCCTCCCGTCACAATTCGAGTACTGGTAATAATATTGTTATTTATTTAAATAAACAGGTTGAAAAAACCCTTTAGAAAATTAATAAAATAATTATGAATGCGGCTTAAATAAATTACAAGTGGATATTGTGC